TGACCATTCTTGATGGCATCATCATGAAAAGTCATAAGATTCGTATGGGAACTGCGTACACGGTTTCTAGAGAATATACATGCATGACACATGGGAGTAGAGAAATGTCTCTCGAGGGCAAGAGATATTGTGTTCTGGCCAAGAATAACGGCCGAAATCACAGATATGGTACTGAGGTGTGAAGTGTGTCTAGAGCGTAGGAACTCTAACGTTAAGGAACCCCTAACGTGTCACAAGGTTCTTGAGTACCCATGGCAGGTTGTTGGCAGCGATTTATTCACCTGGGAAGGGAGTGATTATTGTAGACACGAGGTTTGCATTAATTAAAGTTATAACTCCGTTAAGATTATTGGCCAGCAGATTGATTCTTGTAAACGAGGGCAAGATCGACGAGTCGGATGGAATGTGTGAAAAAGAGTCTACGGCCGGCAGTTTCGCACAGGCAAGGCAGCAGCTAATGTTGTTGTTTGTGCGCTGGGCGGCGGTTGTTTGTGCACGCATTTAGCACACGAACGAGTAGCAACTCGGCTCTTCCCGGAGGAGGGTTCGACACAATAGAGAGATACTCCTGTCTCGTGAAATGGAGAGCGTTCGTGGGTATGTGCTCGATATGCCATCCTTGTAAGGATGGGGGCCGATTAATTACCCACATAACCGACGGTGTACATAGGGATATATTCTAAATCGGGGCATCTGCTGGACAGCTTCAGACAGCCACGAGGGCTGCAGGGATGGTTCCTTGTTTGGACAGGGGTTTGTGGATGCTAAATTTAAGCGTGTATATAAGAACAGTTCGAAGCGAGCATAGTCAATGTGTCTAACAATGTCTGTGCCTGCAACGTGCATCGTTATTCAGTCCGTGAGTATGAGCTTCTCTGAATAAATCTTATTCTTGTGGCACCGTCACACTCTCTTGTGCTTTGTGAATATCAAGTGTTAACATTTCTATACACTTCTGGTAAGACGGAGGAACCTGTCTACATTATTTAGTTGTTGTGGATTACTACAGTCGGTTCTTTGAGGTCGAAAAGTTGACTAGTACGACTAGCAGTTACGTCATCAACCGGCTAAAACGCATTTTCTGCAGATTTGGAATACCGGAGAAGTGTGTGTCGGATAACGGTCCGCAATATGCGTCGCAGGAATTTGCACGCTTTGCGGAGCAGTATGGGTTTGTGCACCCAACGTCTATTAGTTGTCGCGGACCGTGCTGCTTAGGTTGCTGTCTGTGCTTATTACGTACTTTTCCGAGCATTGAAAATACTTGAAAATGTGTTGAAAGTCCACACATCAAGCCTGCTACTTGCTGGCTACGGGCGGCGCTAACTATTGTGTCTGTGTGTCATAAATCGTGGGACAACTCAACAAGACAAACGTTCTAGCTAGCTGGACCACGTACAACCTAAGTGTATTTATTTTCGCACCACTCGCATCACACTGCATACATATTCAGAGTACTACAAAAACTCAGAAATACCATCCTCCCCACGTTTTTCAAAAGTAAATTAAACAAATCAAAAGCCATTCCGAGTATATCACCAGTGTAGTTGAGATTGCCATAGCTCCAGTCCAGAACCTCAGCGAGTAGTTTATAAATCACCTGGAAAAAGAAGATAACTAATTATTATGGTGTGACGAAATACTACTTTAATACCATTGTGCTCACGTCCATAGCTTATAACTATTTAACAATCTAGATCGGTATCTACTCTGGGGTGTGAAACCACCCCCTCAGCCGATACCCAACGCGTAAGGTGTATAAAGGGTTGCCCAATGAGATTGACGAGAAGCACCGGTGCCAACACCACCTTCTTTGAAAGTTACTCTGATTACTCACCACTGGAGACTAAGAATTATTGGTTATATCCGGATTATTCTTATAAGTCAGACATATTTCGAGCCGGAGGCGAAATGGCCTTCTGCACTGAGATATTCTGTTGTAGATGCGGCAGGTGTCAGACTGATACCGGGTTGTTATGCACAGGCTATGTATAAAGCTTCTCAAGCGACAACTGAACGCTCAGGTGTAGCCTGTAATCAGTTCCATTCCCGACCGGACGTGTCCCACTTACTATTCATGGCGTCCGCACTTTCAGTAGCGGGCAGGATATCTAGTAGGCCGGAAATGACCAAATAATGCGATTGAGCTTAACATCAATTCAGCCATGCACGGATTCTCAGACTAGTGTCTGTGCACTGGTAGGAGTAAACCCAAAGTTTCAAAGCTACAGCCTATGGAACTGTTTTAGTCAAATCTGAACACACACATACTGAAAATCGCTGGTCATATTATTCAATTTCCATCTTTCTGTCCCGATACCACTAATAGGAGAGATCGACTATACTCCCAGTACCCTGAGTCTGGACGTCCGCTACACAACCATCGCCAACCTTACTCAAAGGACAAGCGGTTTGTGTACAGCACTGGTCATCGGCAGCGGCACAGCTTAATACTTATGCTGGCTATCGATGTCATCCGCTGCCGATCTACTATGGATGGACTCAGGGGTGTGCCGGCGCTTGTCAGGTACTCTGCGGCTGACGTAAGGGGGACAACCGACCTGAGTCGTCTCCCCAGTCAACAACTGTGGATGTGAATAACCTCAAGCTCAATTGGGGTAGTAAGGTTACTCAGAGGATGGGTATCAGCCAATGCAATATGCTTTACGGCATCAAGTGCTTTTTAAAGCAGTTGATGAGGTATTCTGGCTTGTACGCGGTGCTTGAACATGTGCGCTCCGTGAGACCACTTAGACCCTAGGAACTTGGGGCNAGAGCAGTGGCGGATTCCGGCTTGTTACTGCCTTTGCCGATGTTGGACGGTATAGCAAGCCACAACCATCGTTGATGCCGAATATTGATTCCACACTGCGGTCTATTGGCTGCTGGAAGTACATTATAGGAACGGACCTCACATCCGCCTTCTACCAAATACCATTAGCGCAGCGCTCCATGAAGTACTGTGGTGTGGTTACCCCCTTCCGCGGCGTCCGCGTTTACACTCGCTCGGCAATGGGAATGCCAGGGTCTGAGACTGCATTGGAAGAGCTCATGTGTCGCATCTTAGGTGATTTGTTGGTGGAGGGTGTTGTCGCGAAGCTTGCCGACGATTTATACTGTGGTGGGGATACACCTGAAGAGCTCCTGCGTAATTGGGAACGGGTACTGCAAGCCATGCGCAAGAGCGGTATGGTGTTGTCAGCTCCGAAAACCATCATCGCACCAGGGAGCACGACCATCCTCGGATGGATTTGGTCTCAGGGCCAGATACATGCGAGCCCCCATCGCATCGCTTCACTATCGACCTGCGAGCCACCCATGTCGGTGAAGGCCATGCGGTCATTTATCGGGGCATACAAGGTATTGGCTCGCGTGATCCCAAGTTGTGCCAATATAGTGGCGCCCTTCGACGACATGTTGGCAGGGAAGTCATCCCAGGATAAGATAGAGTGGACGGAACAGCTACACGATACGTTCCGCAGGGCTCAGAAGCTCCTGTCCTCGAGTAAGACGATTACCCTTCCAACACCCGATGACGTGCTATGGATCGTAACTGACGGAGCTGTCAAGAACCATGGTATCGGAGCTACACTCTACGTCACACGACATGACAGAATACGACTTGCAGGATTCTTCAGCGCGAAGTTACGAAAGCATCAGGTAACCTGGTTGCCTTGCGAAGTTGAGGCATTAGCCATCGCAGCCGCTGTCCAGCATTTCAGCCCCTATGTCGTTCAGTCGCGCCATGGCACTTGTGTGCTGACGGATAGCAAGCCTTGCGTTCAGGC